ATCCGGCAGTCTTTCGCCCTGTAGACAAGGATGTCAACACTCTACGCGCTTCACCTTTCGGCTGCTACCACCCACCGAGTGCACAGCATTAACAAGGAAGGCCCCCCCCACCACAAATCAAAGATTAATGCATAAAACCAGCACTCTCAACCAGTGCTCCCTCTAAGATGTGGAGTCTTGTAAGCAAAAGTTCTCCTTTGTGAGCTACTGGCTTTAAAGTTGTGAGCGAGCAATTTGGCTGCTGCATAAATTAGTTTGCTCTGGAGCCATCCTTCCCAAGCTAAGACAAAAATGTGTGGGCCGGAGGCTAGCTCACACTAACTCTGCTTAGAGGGAACACTGTTCTCAACCAGTGCAGGGACATCTGTGATTTACACATGTAATATTCCATCTAAGAGAACAAATGTAAAGAAAACAGTCGTGAGAGTCTGACCCACAGATCAAGCAGTCAACAAGACTTGCAAAGAAAATACTTTCTGTATATTATGGTCAACAAGCACTACAACACAATGAACAAATTCCTTCAAATCATAAGAAAATCCTAGTGTGAAAATACATCAACGTTGTTTCCGGATTATATAACAACGTTTCAAAATTGGATCTTCCTCGGGAAATATCAGAGTAGTACAAACGCTCTCTTGCTCATAAAGTGCTTTACAAAAAATCAGGAAAGAGAATACATTTAGACAGGGCTCTTTTTGTAGAAAAAGCCCAGCAGGAACTCATTAGCATAATAGGCCACACCCAACAGCAGAAACTCATTAGCATATTAGGCCACACCCCTGACAGCACAGCTCATTAGCACATTAGGCCGCACCCCCATGTTACCAGAAGTGTGGTCATCCAGCCACACCCACCTTTTGCTTCTTATTCTGTTTACCTTGTTTGTTGTCCAAACCCAGGCCTTTTTTGTAGCAGGAACTCCTTTGCATGTTAGGCCACACACCCCTAATGTAGCCAATCCTAATGAGTTTCTGCTGTTAGGTGTGGCCTATTATGCTAATGAGTTCTTGCTGGGCGTGTCCAACTCGGGAGCCAGCCGGAACTCCATTCCTGTGCGTTCCTGCCCAAAAATAGCCCTGCATTTAGATAGGATGCTGATCTCAACATGTATGCAGGCTCAAATATACTGCTAAGCGTCTAATGGATCCCAGGCGTCTCACTCATTTTTAGTATTTGTGTGTGTGCGCGCACATGCGCACACATGCATGCTTGTAAGCCTGGAAGTCATGGCGACTTCTGGCGACCCCTACTTGGGCTTGGACATTTTCAGAGAGGTGGCTTGCTATTGCCTGCCTCTGCATCCCAGCCCCTGGTATTCCTTTGGAGGTCTCCTTTCCAAGTGCTTGACAGGGTCGGCCCTGCTTAGCTTCCGAGATCTGATGAGACCGGCCTTGCTGGGGCTATCCAGGTAAGGGCGACCCCCCTCCTTTTTTTGACAGCATACCTGGGGGGGGGGGACCTAGTCTTGCATTTCAGTAAACACTGTAATAAAATTAACTTTGCACTACTTTAATAAACCCTAAATATAACAAGAACAGCAACTGCCTGGGAATGTCTGCATGACCAACGATCTTGGGTGCAGATTCAACCCTGCGTAAAATATCCTGGAAAAGGAGTCAAGCGTTGCAGGGTTAAACTGTAAGTCAAACCAGAAGAGATGCTGAAAGATTTCTCCTGCTGATTTGATTTATTTACAAAAAATTACCCCGCCTTTCTCCCAACAGGGATTCAAGATCAGATCACCATTGTCTGTTTTCTTGGTAATTAGCAGCCGGGTGTGGAGGTGTTCAGATTGGCCTGCATATGTGTGTGTGTGGGTGTGTGTGTGTGCTATACCGACGTTAAAATGAAGGGAGACTGTCCTTTCTTTGAAAATGTGATCAGTAGCTTATTTTGAAAATTATTTCTTCTGCAACTTGAACCTTGATGGTATTTGAAACTATCACTGGAGAACTGAAATATCAACATAATAATATCCAAAATTGACAGGGGTCATTTCCTGCAGGAGCGCACAGGAGCGGAGCTCCGGCAGTAAAGAGCCCAGGGGGCGGGCACATGCAACAATACAGTCCAGTGGCGCCTGAGCGGTGGGTGTCGCCTTCTGACACACTTCCGGTGATGTCAGGGGGTGTGGCATCTGCAAATAAGTTATGCTAATGAGTCATGCTAATGAGCTCCTGCACCTCTTTTTCTACGAAACGACCCCTGAAGATAACTACAGTCCATCTCTGAAGAAGACAAGTGAAACGGAAGACTTATCCGGAATTCTCGTCCGTATTTTACGGAGGTTTTGGGGGTGGAGCCTGAGGAGGGTGGGGCTTGGAAAAAAGAGATCAGTTGTAATCCCAGGAATTCTCCAGCCACCACCTGAAGGTTGGCAACCCTGCCTGGGAGAAAAGATACCTGCAGCAGTCATGTTATCCGTATGTTACCAATAAGGAAAAAAAGGGGGGAAGGGAAAAAAACTGAACCTAAAGCCTAGAATTCAGAACCTAAAAAGGTTGGTCAAGAATGGAAGAGGGCCAACTTTAAAAATCTAATTATGAAACATACAAAAATATACATGTATTTATTAAACCCAAATTAAAATCACAAATAAGGGCCCATTCATACACAAATATAAAAATACAAAGGCTGATGAAGTAGACCTAACGCGTTTCAGCCTTCTCAGGCCTTCCTCAGAGGTCTAATGCAAATAGAACATATTGGCTAATATGTAAAAATATATACAATCATACATATACAAAATATGAAATAAAGACCAGAACACAATTGTTCCAAAGTTTAACCACTGGGCAAAAATACAAATGAAACCTCCAGTGCTACTTCTCTCTGGTCAACTATATATTCTCCTGAGATTGTATAGCCAAATGTTCCCAATGAAATATTCCTTCAGTTAAGAGCAGTGCTGCTCAAAAAAGTATTGGACCTGTGAAGGCCGAAACGCGTTAGGTCTACTTCATCAGCCTTTGTATTTTTATATTTGTATATGAGGTATGAATGGGCCCTTATTTGTGATTTTAATTTGTGTTTAATAAATACATGTATATTTTTGTATGTTTCATAATTAGATTTTTAGAGTTGGCCCTCTTCCATTCTTGACTAACCTTTTTAGGTTCTGAAATCTGTATGTTACCTCCAGTGGGGGCACATTTCAGCTGCAATGGGCGAGGCCAGATAAAATGGCTGCCAGGGAGGATGGATTGCAGATCGTGATCTAAACTGGGGCTCCCCGCAAACCTGCTGTTTTATTTATGTATTTTACCAAGAAAAAGCACACTGGAGATACAGACATATTCAGCACCGCAAGCATATTCAGACATAAGACAGACATATTCAGCATCGCAAACAACGTAACGGTAAAGAAGGGTCACCAAAATGGAACACAAACCTCGGTTCTCCTTACCCCTTGACAGCGCTGATAGTGGTATTTCAGGCCGTAGATGCTGGGGAATTCCAGCCAACAGCCAGAGTTGGGGCATTTGACCCTGGAGTGGGCCTTGAACTCATCTTTCCACTGGTTCATCAGAGACAGCTGAGAAAGAAAGGAGAGAATCCATATAGCACGTGGCTCCCAAAAGATCCAATGAATTACAAAAGGGAGGAGATGTGAAGGCCTGGAAAAAAAACGGGAACATTTGGAAAAAAAACGGAGTTTTTTCCATTTTCCCCCTGAAGCCTTTTTTGTTTTTTTCCCGAAAAATTGGAAACATTGAAAAAAGAAAAGAAAATTGATTACGGAACGTTTTATTTTAACATGATGAATAAACTATTTTAAGACAAGGTGTTCAAATATTTTCCAAATCATTTCTAAAAAATATGTATGTTATCAGATTGATCTAGTTTCTGTGCACTGAGGACAAGCAAGTCCTAGGTTACAAACTGAACTCTCCAATGCAAGAACAAGATGCATTTCTTCCTTTAGAGGTGCGGTTGTCACAAGAAAAGGAAAAGGTTTCAGTTTTGTTTTTGCATGTGGGTGGATATCCTGTTTGTAAGAATTGTTTGGATACACTATATTTTTAATATGCCAGTTGTGATAATTTCACGCCAAGTAAAAATGGTCCATAGTCATATTTTATGTTCCTAAAGTAACAGAATGACTTTCAATGTGGGAAAGAAAAAAGAAGTGCTAGTGTAGCATTTTTTTCAATTTTTCCAAAAATTTCCATTTCCCGCCGAAAAAAACTGGGTTTTTTCCACGCTCCAAAATTTCCGGAAATTTTACATCTCTAGGGAGGAGGAGAAAACCAGGGGAGGACAGGATAGGGATTATTCGTCCCAGTTAGAGAGCTACATTTGAACCTGAAGAAAACAGAATGTCCAGCTGCCTGGTCTCTGCTCTTGAACATCTGACGCTGCCTTAGAATCATAGAACCATAGAGTTGGAAGGGACCTCCCGGGTCATCTAGTCCAACCCCCTGCACAAGGCAGACTCAGATTAATACGGTCAAAGACCAGCGCAAATCATATACATGCATACACATAAAAGAATAAACAGATAATAAAAATATAATTTAAATTTGATCAAAGATATCTCAGATTTAAATAAATATTATATTAAATTTAAGAACCACTGCTTGAAATAACTTTACGGATTTTGCTAGCACCCGCAAAAAACCTTGCACGAGAAGCTGTGATTTGTGGATTCGCACTGGCAAGGAGCTTCCTAGTAATCTCAGAAACAGGGCAGTCCTGTGGCTTTCTAAGGAAAGGAAGAATGAACTTTACACGAATTTCTTGGTAGAAACCACACTGATACAAGACATGTTATATAGATTCAACCATACCAGCTCCGCAGGGGCAAACTCTCTCGTGCAGGGGGGTCTTTCTGTATCTCCCGACCACTGCAGAGGACCCTGGACAATGCAGGAAATTCACAAATACCTCCCCCTCCATACACACACCCAGTGACCCCTGTTCCATGCCCAGAAAATGACAAAAAACCTCCAGGATCGCTGGCCAAACTGGCCTGGAGAAAAATTGCCTCCTGACCCCAAAGTGGCAATTGGCCATTTCCTTGGGCCGTGTAAGAAAGGACCACGAGAACTAAGCACTGAATCTGACCATCATTCTATCAGTCTATCAAGGTTGGCCTCTGCAGGTTTTCAAACGGAGGTCTTTCACACCACTGACTGTCTGATTCTTTCAACTGGAGATGCCGGGGATTGAACCTGCGACCTTCTGCATGCCAAACAGATACTCTGAGTCTAAGCCATGGCTCTCTTCTTAATGGAACTCTCACATGAAACTACCTGATGAACCTGGGGCCTTCTACATGCCAAGCAGACGCTCTACCACTGAGCCACAGCCCCTCTAGTTAGGTACCAGAGTGTCAAGCAGGGTTTCCAATAATTGGGCCCAGGTGACTTGACCCAGCCCCTTCATGGCAGCGTCCAAGTAGTCGGAATTGCTGACGGGATCGAAGCTACGCTGCTGCACAAAAGTTCTACACTGATCCTGCCAGAGGATGTTGTGATGGCTACAGGAATAAACAGTACTAAAAGTAGATGGATTCATAGATTCATGAATGAAAAGTCTACCAATGGCTACTAGCAATGGTGGCTTAAGGGAACCTCCAGATTCAGAGGCACTAAGCCTCTGAATCCCAGGGCCAGGAGGCAACATCAGGGGAAGGCCTCAGCCTCCATGCCCTGTTGTTGGCCCTCCGGAGGAACTGGCTGGCCACTGTGTGAGACAGGATGCTGGACTAGATGGACCACTGGTCTGATCCAGCAGGGCTCTTCTGATGTTCTTCTGAAGGCCTCGGCCTCTGTGCCCTGTTGTTGGCCCTCCAGAGGAGCTGGTTGGCCACTGTTTGAGACAGGATGCTGGACCAGATAGACCACTGGTCTTATTGCTGGCCCTCCAGAGAAACTGGCTGGCCACTGTTTGAGACAGGATGCTGGACCAGATTGACCACTGGTCTGATCCAGCAGGGCTCTTCTGATGTTCTTAGGAAGGCCTCGGCCTCTCTGCCCTATTGCTGGCCCTCCAGAGAAACTGGCTGGCCACTGTTTGAGACAGGATGCTGGACCAGATTGACCACTGGTCTGATCCAGCAGGGCTCTTCTGATGTTCTTAGGAAGGCCTCGGCCTCTCTGCCCTATTGCTGGCCCTCCAGAGAAACTGGCTGGCCACTGTTTGAGACAGGATGCTGGACCAGATTGACCACTGGTCTGATCCAGCAGGGCTCTTCTGATGTTCTTAGGAAGGCCTCGGCCTCTCTGCCCTATTGCTGGCCCTCCAGAGAAACTGGCTGGCCACTGTTTGAGACAGGATGCTGGACCAGATTGACCACTGGTCTGATCCAGCAGGGCTCTTCTGATGTTCTTAGGAAGGCCTCGGCCTCTCTGCCCTATTGCTGGCCCTCCAGAGAAACTGGCTGGCCACTGTTTGAGACAGGATGCTGGACCAGATTGACCACTGGTCTGATCCAGCAGGGCTCTTCTGATGTTCTTAGGAAGGCCTCGGCCTCTCTGCCCTATTGCTGGCCCTCCAGAGAAACTGGCTGGCCACTGTTTGAGACAGGATGCTGGACCAGATTGACCACTGGTCTGATCCAGCAGGGCTCTTCTGATGTTCTTAGGAAGGCCTCGGCCTCTCTGCCCTATTGCTGGCCCTCCAGAGAAACTGGCTGGCCACTGTTTGAGACAGGATGCTGGACCAGATTGACCACTGGTCTGATCCAGCAGGGCTCTTCTGATGTTCTTAGGAAGGCCTCGGCCTCTCTGCCCTATTGCTGGCCCTCCAGAGAAACTGGCTGGCCACTGTTTGAGACAGGATGCTGGACCAGATTGACCACTGGTCTGATCCAGCAGGGCTCTTCTGATGTTCTTAGGAAGGCCTCGGCCTCTCTGCCCTATTGCTGGCCCTCCAGAGAAACTGGCTGGCCACTGTTTGAGACAGGATGCTGGACCAGATTGACCACTGGTCTGATCCAGCAGGGCTCTTCTGATGTTCTTAGGAAGGCCTCGGCCTCTCTGCCCTATTGCTGGCCCTCCAGAGAAACTGGCTGGCCACTGTTTGAGACAGGATGCTGGACCAGATTGACCACTGGTCTGATCCAGCAGGGCTCTTCTGATGTTCTTAGGAAGGCCTCGGCCTCTCTGCCCTATTGCTGGCCCTCCAGAGAAACTGGCTGGCCACTGTTTGAGACAGGATGCTGGACCAGATTGACCACTGGTCTGATCCAGCAGGGCTCTTCTGATGTTCTTAGGAAGGCCTCGGCCTCTCTGCCCTATTGCTGGCCCTCCAGAGAAACTGGCTGGCCACTGTTTGAGACAGGATGCTGGACCAGATTGACCACTGGTCTGATCCAGCAGGGCTCTTCTGATGTTCTTAGGAAGGCCTCGGCCTCTCTGCCCTATTGCTGGCCCTCCAGAGAAACTGGCTGGCCACTGTTTGAGACAGGATGCTGGACCAGATTGACCACTGGTCTGATCCAGCAGGGCTCTTCTGATGTTCTTAGGAAGGCCTCGGCCTCTCTGCCCTATTGCTGGCCCTCCAGAGAAACTGGCTGGCCACTGTTTGAGACAGGATGCTGGACCAGATTGACCACTGGTCTGATCCAGCAGGGCTCTTCTGATGTTCTTAGGAAGGCCTCGGCCTCTCTGCCCTATTGCTGGCCCTCCAGAGAAACTGGCTGGCCACTGTTTGAGACAGGATGCTGGACCAGATTGACCACTGGTCTGATCCAGCAGGGCTCTTCTGATGTTCTTAGGAAGGCCTCGGCCTCTCTGCCCTATTGCTGGCCCTCCAGAGAAACTGGCTGGCCACTGTTTGAGACAGGATGCTGGACCAGATTGACCACTGGTCTGATCCAGCAGGGATCTTCTGATGTTCTTAGGAAGGCCTCGGCCTCTCTGCCCTGTTGTTGGCTCTCCAGAGGAGCTGACTGGCCACTGTGTGAGACAGGAGGCTGGACTAGATGAACTATTGGTCTGATCTAGCAGGCCTCTTCTTATGCTCTTCAGGAGGCAAACAGAGAGCGGTGAACATCCAGAGAGCCAATGTGCAGCCGAGGGTGGGTTGCATCTCTGCCTCGAAAAGCACTCAAAGGATCTGATCACCTAGCCGGGGGGGGGCAGCAAACCTCAAGGGAGGCTGGCCAGAAGGAGACTGGGAAACCCAGACGAGTAGATCATACAGAGATGCAGCAAGCACCCTCCTCCACGGGTGGCTCCTTTGCACTCCAAGGAGCCCTTAATCGATCCCCCAAAGCCCTGTAGTGGCTATCCCACGGGGCATGCTCAGTTCTGGAATGGGGCTGACTTTGGAGCCCGGCTCAGCTGAGCTCCACAGGCCAGTTTCCAATCCGTGGGACAAACAACAGGAAGGCTGATTCAGTCACACCACATTCTGACCAGCTGCCGCAGCCTACACCCATCTGGATGTTGTCCGCGCCGTCTTGCCGAAGTCATGATGTCCGTGCTAACGACGCGCGCGCACCGCAGGAATTAATCACGTCCATCTGAACAGCACGCTGTCATTAAGGTCTGTCTGATGCCACCGAATGAATCAGGCAGCGCTCCC